CTTCTTCCAACACCACTATTCCAGGAAAGACACACCATCGACGACTATACGACACGTGTTTCGCCTCTACACGAATCAACCTCAGGTGATGTAGACTCTACGGCGGCTGACCGCTGAGATTATTCAATATCTTTATTGTTATTAGAAAGGCTGCTGCTTATCCTCTGTTTCTTTTCCCCTTGTTGACTCTTCGACACCCACGTAATAATATGAAGTACAGCGGTAGACTATTGCAGGCTGATGGAGTAAGAAAATATAACACAATGCGGACAAAACGTAAAATAAATAGTATTTAAATTAGCTCGCAGAAGTCCACAGCTGGACATCGGTCTCCCCAAGGGTTACCAACTTTCGAAAGGACCAACCTGGGAGAATTTTTTGTAATCGAGTACGGAGGAGGCGGGGAGAAAGTCTCAATCATTTATTCATTTTTAAACTTATATTTATTTTTCTTTCGAGCAACATCTTTTATATGTCGATTTCGCAAAGCGAGTGCGAGCGACGGATGCATATAATTTTTAGAAAAACTGTAGAAATTATTACACCCCGGGAGGTCGAGAGATTAACCATTATTACCGGAGTCTCCCGGGCAATCCCTACCGGATTGGTTGGGGACCCTAGTCTCACCGTTGCAAAGCGGATTTTCCTACTTTTGCCGGATTTTCGCTCGCCAGTAATAGTACAGAATAAATAATAGTACTACGTACAGAAGTTGCACTCCTTTGATGTCAACTGCTTGTCGACGTTTAATAGCCTACATAATTATTATTAATCAGATAAATCACGAACGCAAGCTAAATAAAACTTTATCGCTGCGCGTAAGTGTCCATATTACTTTGCATCTTTTCCGCTTCCTAAGTCACGGCGGACTTTCCGTGGTTATTAAGGGATGTCAATAGAAAATAAAAAAAATACATTGCGAAATGTTAACTATGTTACTTAGTCCTGAAATACGATTCCTAACAGAAATGTGATCTATTTTACTTACTTAAAAAACTTCTTAGTATACGAAGTTTTAATTTCAGTATTTTGTGTTATTATAAGTTAAAATATTTTAATTACAAAATACAAGTATAGGTATGTATGTAAGTAAATACTTGGATAGTGAAGTAAATTTTAACTAATTTTTGTAATAAAGTACTTAGGTATTTCTTCTGTAGACCAAATTATTACTTAATTCTTTTTTGCTGTAAGTACCTATCTAAAAAAATTAAATAAATTCACCTATCATAATTTCCTTCTAAAATTCTTCGGTAACTTAAAGAATGATGTGAAACCTTTTGTCTGTTGTAGGAACGATGTTTTGCTATTATAATTTATCAAATACATAATATATAATTTTTAAAATACATTAAAACTTTTACAACAATTTTTACCTACAATAAATATACTAAACAATAAACAAAAACTTTTTCAACAAGCATTTACATAAAACTGTTTAGGTACGTAAACAGCGTTAAAAAACTTTAACATTCAATCGTCTCCAACGCGCTAGCCTGTTATTTCGCCCGGGCGCGTCGCGATGTAATTATTTCACGCAGGTAGCAAGAGTGACAGAGGCCTGGTAGTAGTAATATTTTACGACTGACATAAACGAGGATTATACCGCCATCTATCGGAAGGCAAAAGATTCCACGCCCACGAGACTAAACGGAATAGTGGCTTCTCCTTGATCGCCACTATATCCACTTTGTTTCTTAAACTTTGTATTCTTATACAACACGTACGAATTAACTTGAGACTCCGCTGGAATGCGACCCCCTTCCCGACTCCCCGCACCGCGTCCCGCGCTGGCCGTGCGCACTCAGTACCGATAGCATTTTTGTTACGGATACGCGTCTCGACTCTAGTTCGATATTATAGATAGTTTGTGCTGTTCCGCTTATCCAAGATTGATTCACTTTCACCCTAAGTTTGCCTGGGAGAGATTGCTTTTTAGCAATAAGGTCGCCTGTTATGCTTTGTATTTTTATTGTGTACGAATCTGTAACACTTTTTATAGTGCAATAAAGTGTATAATAAATAAATTAATAATATTATAAATGAGAAAGTGTGTATGTTTATTTCTTTGTCCTTCCTTGACGCGTTAACTAAAAATAATATTATATATATTATAAAAAATAAATATTTAAAATATATAAAAATGGCAACAGTATATCACTTATTACTTCACCTCTTGCCAGAACATTTTATTTTATTTTTATTAATAATCTCATGCAAATCTCAAAAATTTCGAATAAAAAAATATTACGACGCATTATTTTGCACACCGTACATTGACAATTACGCCATCGGCCCAGGTCTCAAGTTAATTCGTACGAGTTATAAATAAAAATAATATAATAATCTTAAACCGACCGCGTGTCATGATGGATGCTGTTGTGATAATATTTAACATTTACAGACTTACTCCCATATTCATAAAAAAATTTAAACGCTTGATTAGTTAAATAGTGTTTTGTCTCATTCTGATATTTGCAAGATACTTGTTGCTAGAAAGTGACAAAACACTATTTAACTAATCAACTGTTTAAAAATGTTTATGAATAAAGGGATTAAGGTATTGAGTGAAGTCTATTTTATACCTCATCTTGTTCTTACCCTACCCGTTTACTAAGTTTACACATTTGAATTGCACGTTTACTGTCAGAAAGCAAAATTGCTAATGAAATGGTGATTTTATGGACACGTGTTTACTATAATTGTCTCACTATAATATACAGAATAGAATATATCGTAACGATATCTTCTTTACATCCATGTCACATATTCTAGAATAATTTCAGTTCAGCAGATAAATGGGTGGCTCAATAAAATAATGCTTAAATAACTTCCTACTCGTAACGATTCATCCGAATACTTTATGAATGTAATAACATTTGTTAGTTTGATATTTTAAGCATCTAGATTGCGTAAATTTATAGTAATTGCAGCTTAGATTTGTATTTTATTCCTGTTGGCAAAAGTACAAGAAGTACACCGAGTTCCTACTATTCTCCAATATTTTTGTTCGGTTCAAACGATACAAGAAAATACCTAGTCCTGTTTTGAATTTAATGTACATATTGATTTTCACACTGTAATTCCGTTTTTAATGTTTTTTTTTAAGTTTTTGTTGTCAATGTTGTTAGTTGGTTAGATGGTCGAATTTATTTAATTTGTGTTCAATTTCGACATGAGCCTTAAACAAACTCAGTAGGATTTGTTGCAATTATCCTATTTGACAGGCGTATTGGCAATCGTAGTGCCAAACTTCTCTCTTTGACATTACTTCACGTGGTAGAGCCATGCCGCAGTTTTATAATGGTTGCAGAACGAATGGGTCTCTAGCGGAGTACAAGCGTTAAATAGCAGCTTAATACTCTCTGTTTCGTATTGTGAGTGTAGAGATTCGGCGATCGTTTTTACTAGAAGCAAGGTATTCTATCTTAATCCTCAGGTGTGATAACGCGTCTGCGTTTTTGGTTCTAAGTTGAGGATAGATCTAGATGTCGATGGACCACATCATCTACTTGCTATCAGGAGGACTGTGCTCGTTTGTTACCTTTATTCTATAAAATATACATCGCGCCGCCCCGGTCTGATTTTATGTTTGTTAAATACGAAATTGTTATACGAAGATCTACCGAAAGGCAAAAGATCTTCTCGTTTTTATTTAGGATTAGACCCCCCCCCCCCTCCACCAGCTTCACCTGTATAGAATCTATTAATGTGGCGTTATTCAGATTAAAGAAAATCGAATACTATTTATTTTATCAGTTATTCTTCACGTTTAGAATAGAGCGTAAATCCCACCTGGCGTTGCTCTCTATCTTCGTAAAGCTTCATCACAATCGTTTCAGCCATTTCGAAGATTAGCCTTGACAGACAGACAGACAAAAATTCATAAATAGTTATTTATGTCCTAATAGCGTGCATATATCCTCCTGAGCTTACTAGAAGTCAGTTATTTCAATATTCCAGGTAGACAATTCAATATTATTTACAATAATAGATATTATATTCTTACGCTATTACGGTCTTTTTTAGGTTTGTTTTTCATTTGTGAAGATTGATTTAGGCCCGATTTACATTTTGAGAAGTGACAAGTGCGAGTGGTAAGTGCAACTAAGATAAAAGGTCATTCATATAAAAAAAATTTGAATATATCTCGTTGAGTATCCACGGCATCGGTTTTTCCAATTAATTTCGCGGCTATAAATATGGTTGTTCGTTACTTTTATCGAAGATTGCGCCCTATCGTAAAAGTTATGAGAATTATATGAATAAGTATTTTATCGTGCGATTTCTACGAAAGGCTGCGTGTAAGAATTGCTGTAGTAAACATATCAGTGGCGTATTTTTAAATGAGGTGGATGTGGCATAGTGGTTGAGATAGTAAAGTAAGGAATTTAGGAGCAGGAAAAAGTTCACCGTTCTGCCCAAGTGAACGTTGGCGGAATGAAATGTCCGGGTAACTAATTGTGTAATTCTCAGATATGTAGGTTTTTCTCACGATATTTTCCGTGGCGCCAGCAGATCGCGTTGACGAGTATTATACAATTTTAGGGTGAGATACTACGGCTTCTAACGCTATCTTTTAGGGTATAGTTAAGGGCTTTTTAATAAAGACAAGCTATCATTGTTCTTATTTTAAATTTTTTATTTACTAAGGATATTATATTAAGGAATATAAAGGGACGGACGGACCTAATACCACATATGGTAAAATCATCTAAGGTTGACACGTTCCCTACCTGTCAACCCTAGATGATTTTAAGAACTAGGTACCTACCGTATTCTATTTACCTACCTGTTGTAGTAAACTCATGAACCATATCGTGATTCCGATAATACGAGTAATGTTAAAACGAAGTTGATAGCTTATATTTTTTATTAAAAAAGACTCTTCAAAGAGTGAAATTATGCATTCATTACATGTACTGGGGAAAAAATCTCCAATATTTTTATCTTATTTGAATTTTATTGATATACATTTTTAATTATCTTGTTGTCCACAGGTTAGTTTGAAAATAAAGAAAATGGCGCACATCCGACCAGCTACGTTTCTAAGCGGGCCCTCGAGAGTATCTAGTCATACTTTAAGCTACTATTTCACACGATTTATTGTGAGCATGCTTTTACTAGGTAAGAAACTTTAGTTTTTGTGTCAGATACATTATTATTAATATAATAGTAATAACTCCAAAGTGTTTTCTCGTGTGATTACTCGTGTAGATGATTGATTTGACATTTTAAAGCACAGTGCACTTTTCCATTCTAAGATCAATTAGATTGATGTTTTCACTATAAAATAAATTCTGCAGGAAGTGAATAAATTTGAGAATATGGTAAACAAAGAAAGCTTTTTGTTGCATATGGGGATGGCTTTCTAAGTGTGCAATCAATGAAATTTCTGGTGTAATATCATTATCATTGACACCCTTTTTTAATCCTATTTCTACATCTCATACTAGGTATGTCTAAAAGTATTGCATGAGGCGTATAACTTAGAAGAATTGCTTATACTCACTTCAGAAGCGCAGGTCCGATGTTTTAGCACTGATCCCCAATCAGTATCAATACACGATATTCTGATCTCCATTACCAGTGAAATTTGAATTGTAATATTGTTCTCATTTAAAGCTTTATTAATTGCTTCAGTAGGTCAGTCCACTTCAATACAACAAGTCAGTTTGCTAGGTTTTTTTCAGGGAGATACCGTTTGATGATAGTGGTAAAGAATACTTACACATGCATAAGACAAATTCACTATCTTAAACTTCTTAAAAGGTCGATTAAGCGAAATGTTAAGAACTCTCTCCTTGACTATTTGTTTTATCATCAGCGTCATCATCGTTGCCATCAGAGTTATCATAGCCTATCAAAGGGTGCGTTTGGCAGAAAAAAGCGCTAGCAAGCGCTTACAAGCGCTAAAATAGTTTTCGGCCAGGACACGATTGCTACTTCAGTAGCGCTGACACAATCCGCCATTTTGCTTATTTAATTTGTTTGTTTTGAAGTAGAGTTTATAAGTTGTTTTGTGCAATATTAGTTTTAAGTAATATAATGACATAAATAAACATATACATGCTATTAAAAACTCATGATTGGTAAGTTTTTAATATGAATACTTTACAAACATATATTTAAATTTTTTTTTTTTTTTTTTTTTTGGTGGGTAGGCGCAAAGTGTTTTGTCATATTTAAAATCGTTCCTGATTTTTAAAGTTTAAAAATAGTAAATAAAGAACAATCAAGTATATAAATGTACCTATAATTACATAAATCCACCAGCATTGTTTACTAATAATTTGTTTTCCACTGTGCACAACTTAAAACTTATTTTGCCACTTCACTGTCACCTGACATTGACCTTTAAATAACCTTTAATTTACATCATGGATTTGCTTAAGAAGTCAATTGAAGAGCTAACGCTGAACTTCACTTCACGTATGGATGAGTTCCAGAGGGAGGTCAGAACATCCATCCCTGCAACAAGCCCATCTTCCGACATTAATGCACAATTTAATACCTTTAGGGCATTTGTCCTGTCAGCACTTGAGAACCTGCAACTTCAACTCCAGCTTCTCTGTAGGAAGCAAGAGGAAATGGAAGTAAGGACCAGGAGGAAGATTTTGCTTGTCCATGGAGTGCCAGAAGCCCGAGATGGGAATCCAGTGCATTGCACGAGTAAGCTATTATCGGAGCGACTGAACATCCCAGAAATAACTGAGGGATCTATCACCAGATGCCATCGCTTAGGGCGCCCCCGCGGAGACAAGCCTCGTGCACTGCTTGTGAAATTTCAAGATCAGGATCTGCGTGACAAAGTTTGGTATACCAAAACCAAGTTAAAGGGTAGCGGAGTTACTCTATCTGAGTTCATGACTAAGGGCCGTCATGAGGCATTCGTTGCTGCTCGGAAGCGTTTTGGTGTTTCGCAATGTTGGACACGAGACGGATATGTTGTGGTGCTTGGGTCCGATGGCACGAAGCACCGGGTGTACACCGTGGCTGAGGTGATCGCCATTCCTGACGCAGCTGGTAGTGTTCCTACTAACTCATCCTTGACTCCGGCGACGGCCGTGGCGGCATCTTCGGCTCCCAAGCCCTGTGTTACTACAGCTAGGGCTAGGAAGATGACGAAAAAATGATGGTTGTGGCGTGTTTCTCATGTAATTCCGCTTTTATTCATTTACTCCAGCAGCTCAATTCATATATTATTACTATTTTTCTTCCTCTTCTTGTTTTTTGTAACTTTTGGTTATCAGGTATTTATTATTAATATTATCCTTTGCCATAGATTTCTATGCCATTAATTTCATAATGGGTTTGCACTGGTTTGATGAATATTACTCAAATTATTTTAATCATTGCACAATACAGGTAGATTAATTGTTAATTCTTTTTTATTTGTTTTCTATTTTCTGATAATAATTTTTACGTTTAATTAACTTTATAATGACATTGGTACCCAAGTCAGTAATCTATATTCGTCGTCTATATTGTAATATACCTGTAAGCCTGTAACCACAGAAGCAGAAGCATTCTTTGATTTCTTTCTTTTTTTAGTTTATTAGTATGGCAAAGGCATATAAACCCATACTGCCTAGTCTGACGTGTTTAATTTCTTCTTACAATTTATTGGTGTCAGACAGCTAGTTTTGGGAAGTTTTACTATTTAACTGATTGTTTTATTTCTTTAATTAAGTTGTTGTATTGTTATATGCTTTCTCTTTCATGCTGCTGGTGGTTGTAATAGTGTAGGTACTGTCTGATCTTGCATTTTTATTTATATTTTATTTTTTAAGTGTATATAAGTAGTATAAATTTATTTGTATATTTTAATATAGCATTTATGTTATCCTCAAACATTTGTAATGACAGTGATTTGTTTCTGACGTTGTCTTCAGATGATGAGACACATAGTGACGTTAGTTATCACAGTACAACTGCTTCTCCTTCACTCAACATTACCTTAAATTCTTGTTTCTCAGACTGTGTGAATAACTTCAATGCTATTCATATTAATGCCCAAAGCATTCCGGCTCATTATCCTGACATGCTTGCGTCATTTGAATCCCAAAATATTCACGCTATTTTAGTTTCAGAATCTTGGCTAAAACCCTGTCTGCCTTCTACTTCTTACTCTTTGCCCGGGTTTCATCTAATTAGAAATGATCGCACTAATAGGGGTGGCGGGGGGCGTGGCGATCTATCTTAGATCCTACTTTCCATTTAAAATTGTTAGTTCGTCATGTCAACCACCCCCTGTTGATTCTGCTGAGCATTTGCTGGTTGAGGTCTCCCTGTCTCAGAACAAAATCCTTCTTGGAGTATTCTACAGTCCCTCTCTTTCTGTAAACTATTTTACTTCTTTCGAATCTCTTTTGGAATCACTAGTCCCTACGTATAGTCATACTATTTTGATGGGAGACTTTAACACCTGTTTGCTTAAAGGCGACAATCGGGCTATAAAGCTTAAGTCTATAATTGAAGCGTGTAATATGCAAATCCTACCCCTTTCTGCTACTCATAACTTTCCTAACTGTACTCCTTCCCTTCTTGACTTAATTATAGTGTCATCTTCAACACTGGTTTTCAAACACGGACAGTGTCCTGCTGATGCATTCTCTCACCACGATTTAATTTTCCTTTCGTATAAACTACGCCCTCCTAAAATCAAACCTAAATTAGTTCTGCGACGTAATTTTGGAGGAATGGATGTTGACCAACTTTGTGAAGATGCGCATAACATTGACTGGTCAGTGATTGAGAGAGTACCGTGCATTGATGATAAAGTTGAACTTTTCTGTTCCTTACTTACTCAGCTTTATGACATTCACGCGCCAATGCATTACGTAAAACTCAAACATTTACCTGCTCCATGGCTCTCTGATGATCTGAAAAAACTTATCTTGAAGAAAAATGTAGCATTGTCAAAGCTTAAGAGGAATAAAACAGAGGAAAACCAAAGGAAATACGCCAAAATCAGGAATCGCTGCAATACATTATGTAGAGATGCACAACGACGCCATATTCATACATCAGTCGAGAACGGCGACTCATCTAGAGTGTGGAAGTTTCTTAAAACAGTTGGAGTTGGAAGAACATCCCTAAATGCCTTACCTCCTTGTGTTGATGTTGAACTATTAAATCAACATTTTTCTAATCCTTCTAACTCTTTTGATAGAGAACAGAAATTGCAAACACTTCGTTCTCTTTCTGTAACTCCGACTCCTAATTATCCTCCGTTCGTTTTTAGTCAGTTTACTGTATGTGATGTTAAGAAGATCATATTATCCATCTCCTCAAAAGCTGTCGGTAGCGACAACATTAGCCGTGATATGATCATTCCTCTCCTTGATGTTATCGCTCCTACTATTACTTATTTACTTAATGCATGTGTCTCTTCGTCTAAATTCCCTCAAGCCTGGAAGAGTGCACATGTTATACCCCTTCCGAAGAGATCCAATCCTGTCAACCTTTCTGATTTCCGTCCCATCTCGATCTTACCTTTCCTTTCTAAAGTCCTTGAAAAACTTATTTGCCAACAGCTAACCCTTTTCCTTAATAAGCACAATTTGTTGAATCCTTTACAATCAGGTTTCCGTCCTGGTCATAGTACGGCTACTGCCTTAATCAAAGTTACTGATGACATACGGTGGGGTATGGATAATAAACAACTCACAGTCATGACCTTGCTGGATTTCAGTAATGCGTTCAATACTGTTGATTTCGATATACTGTTGAGTCTATTGTGTTCCCTTAACATATCTCCATCAGTAATTGACTGGTTTCAAAGTTATCTCTGTGGCCGTCGGCAGCGTATTCGTGTAGATGAAACTCACTCATCTTGGTGTGATATTACTGCAGGCGTGCCGCAGGGCGGCGTGTTGTCACCTTTACTCTTTTCCATTTTCATTAATTCAATCACTCATAAAATATCTTCTCTCTACCACATGTATGCGGATGATGTTCAGATTTACACCCAGTCAACTCTTGAGAATTTGCCGAATGCAATCTCTACATTAAATAACGATTTAAATATTATTCATGAGTGGAGTAAGTCATACGGCCTAAATGTTAATCCCAAAAAATCACAGGCCATTATTATTGGTAGCCGGAGCTTTATCTCAAGAATTGACTGGTCCTCCGTACCACCTATCGAATTCGATGGAATTGTAATTCCTTACTTTGACAGTGTCAAAAATCTTGGTATTTATTTCGATAACTCCTTAAATTGGATACGCCAACTGAATGAGGTAAGTAAGAAAACCTTTGTCGCTCTTAGTTCACTGCGTCGCCTTCGATCATTTCTTCCCATTCCTACAAAAATTATGCTCGCACAGTCTCTTCTCCTTCCGATTCTCGACTATGCTGACGCAAGCTATGTAGACATAACTGAGGACCAGCTAAATAAGCTTGAGAGACTTCAAAACACTAGTATTCGGTTCATATTTGGATTGCGCAAATTTGACCATATTTCCCAATTTCGCTCACGTCTCAAGTGGTTACCTATCCGACTTCGCCGGAATATGCATATTCTTTCTATTCTGTACTGTGTATTATTTCACCCTTCTACACCTCCTTATCTAAAGGAGAAGTTTAGTTTTGTAGGGCTTCCAGGAGAACCTCTACGTTCTTCAAGAAAATTCATTTTAAGGGTTCCAACTCACAATACTTCCTTTTTTAATAAATCTTTTACTGTCCAATCTATCAAGCTCTGGAATGCCCTACCGTTGCGTATACGTGAAGCACAAACGATTGTTATATTTAAGCGACTACTTAAAGAGCATTACTTGTCTCAGTCGTTTTAACACCGTTAGAATAAATTAAGTGATTATGTATCTATTGTATTTATCTGCTTTATATTATTGTTTGAGGAATTTTTTATGTATATGTATATATATATCTATATTTGAGTAAATGTGTAAGTTTGTTTATATATTTATATATATGTATGTATATTTATATTTATATATGTTTTACTTTATTTTTATTATATTTTAGCAATTTATATAATTTCATGTATTAGTTATTTGTATGTTATTTTATTGCATGTATTGTCTATAAATCGCTATTATATTATGTATATTTATATTGCACCACCTACCTAGTTCTCACTGTTCTAATCCTTACACCTTTGGTTGCCTGGAAGAGATCGCTATGTAGCGATAAGGCCGCCAAATTGTACTTACATAATATTATAATCTTTTTTTGTGTTTTGTTAACTGTATATTTGTTTGTGGTGTACAATAAAAGTATATTCATTCATTCATTCATTCATTTAAATTAGGTTAGATTCCCCGGTTAAAACTAACATCGTGTCCTGGAGGAAAATAGCTACTTACTATTTGACAGCGCTTACCGCTTACGATCGCCATTTTGCTTACAAGCGCTTGCTAGCGCTTTTTTCTGCCAAACGCACCCATTGTCTACAGATAAACATAGGCCTCCCTCATAGATTACCTCATGAGGTCGATAACCGCATAAAAACCATCCGCGTAATGACACGAGGGGAGCTCAAGAAGTTCGCGGAATGAATGGGGATGAAATTTCTGAAATATTCTCTTTTAACCCAAATACAATTCTCAGACCGGTCAAATAACTTATTTATACCTTCGAAAAAAGAGTTTCGTCAAAGCCCTCAAAATAGACAGGAATTGCCGACTTCATTTCTTTGTCATCTGTAAATTTCTTTTCCCGACACTCTTTTTACATATTTGGGAAAAAATAATGATCCAAAGCGGCCAAATCTGGACTATAGTGAGGGTGATTTAAAGTTTTGAAGCCGCACTTGTATAAGGAAGCCATCACAAGTTCACTCTTGTGAACGAGTGCGTTGTCGTGCAAAAGGAGCACACCTCGAAACCACTTTCCCCTTGCTTTTTCTTTAAACGCATCCATTAAAGTAATATGTACTTACGTACTGGAACAGCTATCTCAAACAAAAAATGTGCGCTACTCTTGTGTTCGCGCGGTTGTTTTTTTTTAATCATAGAATAAACATAGGTAGAATGACCCGTAGGTAAATTGTATTGTTAAATAGGTAAATTATATCGAGAACAATATTTAAATTATGTCATTTATTTTGTATATTATATTTGCTTATTTAATATAATATTACATAATATTATATCACAATTAAATTTTAATGATATTTTTATCTGAATATTTTAAAAGGTAATTTAATTAAGTCAAATATAAAAAACATACTAAATGTATGTTTAACAAAACTTATTAACATAACATTTAAATTACAAATATTTAAATTAGAATAAAAGTCGTTCATAAATGCTGGGCACGCGAGAGTTAAAAAATGGACGAATTTATACCACTTTGACTTTGATGTGGAAACCTAAAAATAAAATAAAAGAATAATAAGCAGATTTAAACATGAAAAATTTTGCCGAATTATAATAACTTATCTAGAACATTTTTCATTTTAAATCTGCTTATTATTCTTTTTTTTATGTTTCTACAAAAAAAATGTATAATAATATATTCGTCCTATACTTAAGTACCCACAGAAATGTCGCATCTGAACATATTCATTTCATAATCTATATTCCATGACACAAGATGGCGTCTTAGGAATAATTTGTTTTATTATTAATACATAATACGTTTTTATTGACTAAGTATCTTATTAACCGTTGAAAAGTAATTCCTTGGTTTTTACTGACATTTCTTGAATTATTTGTGCAATATCTAAGTACACACGACGGCATATTTTTATCAAGAGATATTTTTTAAATCAACACAACACGTGACAACTCTTTAAGCGCCTAGCGAGTGACTGATTAAAGTGCGGTGTATGCACCGCAGTTGAGTGGAACAGAGTAGCTGAATGTAGTGTCGCCTCTAGTACGTAGTACATAATAGCTCAATGAACGCATCTTTTAAATTTTCTAATAACATAACGTAATACAGTCCCGTGATTATATATTTATTATGAATCAATAAAATCCCCTCTGAACCCCAGTAAACTGAAGCCATAGTCTTTCCAGCCGTTTGTGACACCTTGAACTTCTTAGGCGGGGTTCTACGCCTTTTTATGAAACTGCATGGACTCGTTTTACTGGAATCGTGGCAATCCATCTTAGTCCTCAAGGGTGACAACGCATCAGCATTTTGATTCCTAATCGAGGTTAAATGTAGATGTCTATGGGCTGCAGCATCTACTTACCATCAGGTGGACTGTGTGCTTGTTTGTCATCCTTATCCTATAAAAAAATTTCAGCATTGACTCAGGTTCATAGTCATGGACCCAAGTTTCATCTACAGTTAAAACTCGCGCGAACACTTGACCCATGCTGTTTCTGAAGCGGTGTGAAACCATTCTGGGCACCCAACTTTCACTGACCTTAGACATGCCTAGATGGTCATGAAGAATATTTAAAACTCTTAGATGTTACTGCACTCACTTCTGCGATCTGTTTTTTCTACAGACGAGTATCTCCAATAACATGTTTTTTGACTTTTTCGACAATGTCTGAGGATCGTCTTTAATTGAGTCTCTACCGTGCTTGAAAAGGCTGTACCACTTATACGTCATCGTTTTTCAAGGCAAGAGTCCCCGTAAACAGATGCCATCTTTTCCATAATGATATGAGCCGTTTTTCCTTGCTTAATAAGAAACTTAACCATGGCACGAAACTTAATTTTCTCCATAGTTAGTGTTCACTCCTCCGTAGTCTTGTTTAATCTGTGATATCTCCAAAGGTTAATGAATCGATATAGCTGAAACTTGGTATTTATAGTTGTATTGAATCTCGAACGAAAGTAACAGTAAAAAAAATCCCTCCTCCCCTCTTTAACCCCTCTATTCCGCGAACTTTTTGAACCGCCCTCGTAATATGGGATAGTGGATTATTTACATCGTCTCTGTGCGGCGGCTACTATTATTGTTTACAATTTCGCACATTTTATTTTTACATTTATGGTAAGTTTGCGGTAAAGAACGATATAGTACTACTACAACTTGTGTTTTATACGAAAAAGTGTGATAAACGAGGGCGCAGTCCTCCTGATGGTAAGTGAATGCCGCGGCTCATAGATACCTGTCTTTGATTCAGAATCAAAAGACAAATGATTTGTCAGTTATCACTCCGGAGTACTATGATGGAAAACCTGTTTTCTATTCCATTCTCCATTCGTGTTTCGTTACTCATGGAACACAGCATGCTGGCATTTTGTAAGAGCATGGTCCTTTCCAGTCTCACAACAAAGCAGTAGCGTGGCTCTACCGAGTATATCCACCTAAGCTCGAACATCGAGGATGAAGGAGAATTAAGAAAACCCATCATGGTACTTATTATTACATTATAAACCTTATACTAAGGGTTAAAAAGAGCGTACTTAATGCTTTATACCATTCTCTACCAATCAACCCTGGATGATTTGAAAAGCAGTGGAAATTGCAAACAGTTATCATGAATCTATAATTTATACGTGGTAGAGCCACGCTACAGCTATATTATGGTTGTAGCACGAGTGGGTCGGCTCAACCGGAGAAGGACCTCGCTCTCGCAGAATACCAGCGTAAAATAGCAGCTTGATACTGCTGTGTTTTGTATGGTGAGTGTAGAGATCCGGAGACCCTTTTTTTACTGGAAATAGGCATTCCATTCCATAGTCCACAGGAGTGAAAACGCATCTGCGTTTTGATTCTTAATCGAGAATAAATGTAGATGTGTATGGGCCACAGCATCCACTTACCATCAGTTGGACTGTGTGCTTGTTGGTCACACTTATTCTATAAAAAAATCTTATGGATTATATTTAACAAATATTTCAACAATTCAGGTCTACCAAATACATATGGCCAAATAGAAGAAATGTATTTAGACTCTACGGAATTGAATATACTCGTTGACGAGAGCCGCCTATTCCGAATGGTACAAATGTAAGTAGCTTAAATCTTAAATTACTATACTAAAATATATCGTCGTGTTTGATTAAATAAATTCTTTAGAAGTATATTTTACATATTGTGTAATACTTAACTTTAATCACTTTCTATAATATACCGTAACCAGAACCGTTACAGGCTATCAAAATTCTACTGTTGAACATGGGCATACGCAGCTTTACTAGTTGGTTTGTATCCCTCTGTTAACTTTCACCAACACCCACGGGCCACTATACGATCATCCATCATAACTGCAGTATGAAGACAAAATATAATTAAAAAGAAGGAAATTTAGTAAATAAATTTATGTTATTTCATATGCTTAATTGGAGGTGTTTATGAAAAATTGAAAAATTCTAAACAAATTGAGCTTAGTTTTCATAACAAGTTGAATACTTATTTCACATAGAAGCTGTATGGGGGTGAAAACTTCTGATAAATCATGTATGGTACCGAGAATTTAGTCGCGTAACATTATTGTATTATGACTGTGATAAATCTAATATACTAAAATATGATGTAATAAAAATTGTTAAACTTTTAAACTTTTTGTTTAACTTTAAGGTGTATAATATTTTCAGTGGTGAACCTAACGTTACTCTTCAAATTGCCTTACAAGTGCAGCATCCAGACATAGTTCAATTCGTTCCATCAACACTAGATATACCTGGTACAGCAGAACCCAATGATACTGTGAAGATCACACACGATATCATGGCTTACGGCAAAAGCCCAGGACACTCCGACGTTACATTCAATTCTACGCCAGTTGGATCAGTCAAGTTAGTTTTTTTTATATACACGTATTTTACTTTATAACGAGTCGAATGCACCTTGAGAAATGGAAATTTTTAAATACAATTTGATAAATTTTAAGCAGGTTAATGATTAATTATGATAAAAGAAAGGAATTGATTTGAAATAATATACCGATTATTTTATATTCTGCAAAAGTGTGTTCTTGAATTCATAGATCAAAAGAGTGATAGGGTTTTTCCGTGCAATCATATAGATTCGATTACGAAATCATAACTTTAAAGAATATTCACATAATAATGCTTCAAAGTGGTTTTTATTGCTTTGATAATCTTTTTGTATGTAGTGACGTTTATATATATACGAAGCACTTGCTTTGGTTTTCATCGTATATTGAAATAATACTAGTTTTTACGGATTTTATCGCGTATATTTAACTATAAATATCCGACGTTTCGAGCGCTTTACAGCACCCATGGTCACGGGGAGGACTGAGATGTTCAACGTCCAAATGTCATAGTTAACAGCGGTTACCATAGATAAAAATTTAACTTTTGTTTTATCTATGGTAACCGCTGTTAACTATGACATTTGGACGTTGAACATCTCAGTCCTACCCATGACCATGGGTGCTGTAAAGCGCTCGAAACGTCGGGTATTTATAGTTAAATATACGCGATAAAATCTGTAAAAACTAGTAAAATTTCAATGTGTAGTGTTCGCGTAAATATAAGAAATCATTATTCCATCGTATATATTAACTAATGTCGTATTATTAAAAATTATTAAGGTTTAAAATTGACCTTTATAGAAAAACACAATCAGGCGTTACTTTTCGGGAATCCATTATTTTAAAGTTGGTAAAAAATTACGCGGATATATGAAAAGTAATTTTTTACCAACTTTAATACAATCAATATTTGTTTCTTTTTTTCAGCCTCAGTTCAGTGTTCCTACGTATCACAGTCATGCACTCCAACACAATAAATGTTATCTCCTACATAATGGGATGGATCTACTTTGCAGCTTGGTCTGTGTCTTTCTACCCTCAAATTTATATAAACTTTAAACGTAAAAGCGTTGTTGGGCTTAACTTCGACTTCCTTGCGCTCAATATCATGGGTTTCACCATGTATTCATTGTTTAACTGCGGACTTTATTTCTCAAAGGCGATCCAGGTTTGTGATTGTTTCTGATATTTAGGTATTTGCTTCTATCTTGATATTTTATTTATTTCGGCGTACATTTCGATTTATACATTTATCAATGACTATCTAACCTATGTGTGACACGATAAGTAAATCTTAAAATTAAATCTATATATTTAAAATAAAGACTATAGTGACTTTAAAACTATTTAATAGTAGAATTTCGAGATCATCAAATTGATCCATCATCATCATCATCATTCCATCCATTACAGCCAAAAAAAGTTCACTACTGTACATAGAGTTGATTCATCATCTTATCCAAAAGTCCACATCTGAACAAAGGCTTTCCCCATCTTAATATATATAAACTACGAGTCACGTTGTTTGTCCGCAATGGACTCCTAAACTACTTAACCGATTTTCATCAAATTTGCAAACCGTATGCAGTTTGGTCCAATCTGAGAGATAGGATAGTTTTTTTGCCCATGAGTGACCCACAATTTTTATTTGCGAATTTAAGGATGTTTAATAGGACATGACAAAGGCGTAGCAGAGCAACGTCTGCCTGGCAAGCTAGTAGATTATATATCATAGGGAAAATAATTGCTAAAGTAGCCACGCTTCACAGGCGGATTGGCAACCTTAATTTTTATTATTTTTGAGTTGTTATAGAGAACATGCTGCTCCCCGTATTCTGTTAATTTCTCTCCGTCGCCTCATACGACACCCATAATATGATATGACATAGTCGATATTGTTACGGAATTGATTATTGTTAATAATATTTTGGATTAAAACATTAGATTTTTTAAATATTTTTCTTCATCAGCCCGTTAAAATGTACTACTGGACCTAAGTGTCTTCCGTTGTAGGAAGCATTTGATATATCAGAAGTCTCTTAATTGACGTTGCCCGCTATCGCCCGTCTGGATATTTTATCTGGCGTTTACCAGATGGTTGCTTGGCGCAGTAATTAATCAATTTTTACGAGGTCCTGAGTTCGAATCCCGGGTCGGGCCAAAAGTCAGTTATTAAGTTTTTCTATCAAGAATCTTCTTATTAGCAGCCCGGGGTCATGACGTTGGCAATGTTTTACCCCCGTGTCTCGGAAAGCACATAAAGCTGTTGGTCCTGCGGCTGTCCCTCTCCGGTCGTGTCGGATTGCATACACTTGGACATATTACTTAATACTGTCCAGCGAAGATGGATAGTCTTGTTGTACGTTGTTCTCTGCTCGCTCTGACTGACAGTCAGTCTGGAGAACATTATTATTAGTTAAGTTTATGACTGCAGTGCCACACACCCAGCACGGAAATAACTATTCTCATGGCTTTATTGTTCCCAGAAACCGTGAAGAGGTAATGTAGGAATATCCACTTGCTCATATCGTCTCGTGGGTGTCGTAAGAGACGGCAGAGGGTTATTTAAACAGAATATGGGAATAAAGATCTTTCTGCTAGTAACAACTCACTATGGTAAACCCTCTCAGAAATGAGGGGAGGCATGTGTGACGTATATAGTCTGTAACTTTACTTTTATGGTAAAATCCTCCCAATGAAGCAATCTATAGAGGAAGAGGAGGTGGACTTCCATAGGCTGTGATGAATGCATGGAATTGTCGAGTATGGATGTCTCTCCATGTACGATATGTGTTTGTGGAACGTTTACATGATGCAGGGTAGCATGCTTGATAAATTACTAAATAGCAAGGTGGTTATACCGTCATCTATGGAGAGTCTTGAGATCATTCGGCATTTCTCATCGTCTCTTATGACACTCGTTGGTCGAAATGAGGCGATAAAAACTTTTATTACAACGACACTACAATCTCAAAAAAGAATCGAACTATATTAGTGTTCCACTGCCCCATATCATCCCGTGGACATAAGAGGCGACAGAGGGAAGCAAATCAGGAGGTGGACAGCAGCGTATACGTGGTAGAGCCACGCTGCAGCTATATCATGGTTGTAGCACTAATGGGTCGGCTCCACCGGGGAAGGACCACGCTCTCACAGGATACCAGCGTAAAATAGCAGTTTAATACTGCTGTGCTTCATATGGTGAGTGTAGAGAACTAGAGACCCTTTTTTACTGCAAACGAAGCAAGTCCTCAGGGGTGATAACCCATTTGCGTTTTGAATATTAATCGAGGATAAATGTAGATGTCTATGGGCCACAGCACCCACTTACCATCGGATGGACTGTGTGCTGGTTTGTCACCCTATTTTATAAAAAAGCATCTTCCTAATAATAACTAAAAATTAAAAACTGCGGTTGCCAATCTGCTTGCCAAACGTGTCAACTGTGGTAAATATCCCCCCTATAGGAGGGAGGCTAGTCAGCAGTGTACTTTAATAGGATGTAACGGTAACGATAGTTCTACTTATATTAGTCATATGCTTGAAAATTATTTTATTTTATTTCAGAGCGAGTACCAAAGTAGGCATCCTCGTAGCATGAATCCCGTACAGCTCAACGATGTATTCTTTTCTCTGCACGCCTCTTTCGCTACGCTAATTACCATCACGCAATGCTTCTTATACGAGGTTCGTGATATTAAGTGATAATAACCTTTACTGTAATGCAATTTAATTATCGTTATGAATAGTTTGTCCATATTAATTATAATTGTGTACGACTTTTACAAAGCACTATTTAAAATTATAGAAGGCTACGTCTTCGCTTCACAGATCACTGCGAAAAATCTTGTGAGAAGAAACGCTTAGAAACTAAAATGTAAACTATTTTTCTTCCAACAGTTACAAAGAACTCTTTAACTGACACCAAACCCACTGTACTAACAAAAATATTAATTTGAATATTGAAATTTGAATTTGAATGAAACTTTATAAATAATATAATTAAGTCAAGGTATAATATAATTATGTTCATTCTTATTTATGAAATCAACATTATTATATTAATATTATCCTTTCAGTATAATTATTCTTAAATTTGAATTTATAAAGGCAAGTCAGTGATGTTACTGAAAATTTTCAATAGTTACACATACAAAAACTCAAAAAGAAATTGCTATTTTATTAATTAGAATAAACACAAATTAATAAATTTTATACCCATTTTTAAAATAGTGCTTGAAATACTTTTTAATTGATACGTCTAATGATGGTCTCAAAACTTCTTATTATCTTCCCTTTTTAACCGACTTAAAAAAGAAGGAGGTACTCAACGAAGTGAACACACATTTAACAAAATACAGTCAAAGACTGTATTTTGTTAAATGTGTGTTATAGCATCAGAACTTTTTTCTAGGTGAACTGATTTTGAGAATTCTTTTTTTATTTGAATGTGGTCCCATATAATCAAGATATGAACGTTAGTTTTTGAGTTATATTTAATAATGCGTATTTATTTGACTTTGACAACATTTTTTAGTGTTCTGATTTTTATATTGAGGTCGGTTGTACAAAATGTTTAATTTTACAACTTGTTACCCTCAACTATTTAAATAAAACTAGTTTTTACGGATTTTATCGCGTATATTAACTTATTTTATATTGCCGGGGTTTCGAGCACTTTACGGCCATGGTTACTGCGGGGACTGAGGTGTTCGACGTCCTAATGTCATAATTAACCACGGCTACCCCCAAATTAAAAATTTAAATTTTTGTTCCGATCTCTGCAGTATGAACTTATAGTAGGTTGAAGTCTTGTTGTATGCTTGGGTTGTTATTTAATTTTATTAATTATAGGATCCCAAGCAGATGGTAGCACCCAGCCATCTTCTATATTGAAATTAGGATGTTTTTTGATTTCAATAGCTCCGCGATTCATCCTTGGAAGAAATCGGTATAGCGAGGATTTGTGGTATATCAAATCTGATATAGTGACGGGGCGATTACAGATCGCATCAGATTTAGATCAATATGTACATGAACAGACGTGTTCGCCCTTAACTTTGCCGAAAGTTTGACTTTGAATCAAAAGCCTATGAGATACAGACTTACACCGAGGTAATTCTAAAAGGGTTCAATTGTGTAAATTACTTTTATATTTCTCCCCAGCGTGAAGATCAGCGCGTGTCGATGACAGGGCGAAGTATACTTGGTGGGTTTCTGGCCATCGTTATAGTTACGGCCGGTTTAGGGGCTGGTGGGAAGATCGAGTGGCTCGACTTCTTGTACGGCTGCAGTTACATCAAACTCTGCATTACTCTCATCAAATACATGCCGCAGGTAAATAATATTGTAACAATGGAGATAAACCAGGCATTGGGCAACAGTGTCTTCCTGAGAACAACAAAGTAAAGTAAAAAAGTTACAGCCTATATAAGTCCAACTGCTGGGCACAGGCCTCCCCTCATTTCTGAGAGGGCTTTAGGGCAAGGAAGTGTCCGCCGCGTTGTCCCAATGCGTCTTGGCGAACTTCCCATGTCTTCGAAATATATTTTTTTCTCATATCCCAGACATGCAGGTTTCCTCACGATATTTTCCTTCACCGCCGAGTACGTGGTAAATCAGCACTTAAAATTGCAATTAACAATTTCATTTCCGGCAGCCGGCGGGGATCGAATCCGGGTTACTCGCGTTCTGTTATATTTACAGCGAGCGTTAACCATCTGAGTTACCACGGGTCTGAGAGAACTACAAAAAGATAAAAAATTAACTGCGATTGTCAACACGCCTGCCAAGCGGTACATATTTTCTCTTCCTCACCCTTGGCAGGCGGCGGGACTATTGATTAGGTTGTAATAGTAAAATTAATAGTGCTTTCGACGAGACCTTTTTGTAACAGGCTCTAGATTAAACCTTAGACGAATTATGAACTTTTGTTATAAGACGGTCAAAGCAGATTTTCTTCTTCATCATCACCAGTTCGTAGAAGACCATTTAGGTAAAAGTACAAGTAAGGATTTGCCTGTCTTTTTAATACTCATGTCTGTTTATGAAAAAAAAAAACTTTCTTTTATTATATGGTACAGATACATTTAATATAAACAAAAAAAAAAGACAACTACCCTCACTAATTTTTATAGGGGTGTCACCTACAGATGACACTGGGCCTTGTTTTAACAGCACATAAGTTAAAGTTTTTTACTTTGTTTCTGTATATTATAAATAATATCTATTGACATATAAGAAAGAAGCGTTTTATTACCGTGGAACACATATATCAGAACTTTAGATGTAAACCAGTATTGCACTTGGCACACATTTTTCGCGTACGTTGATGACTATATCTGCATCGCCGCTGCAAATTTATGATGTTCAATTTATAATCAATACAAAAATCAACGTGTAAAAATTACGTGACAAAAATACGTGTAATTTAATATTGGTGTACTATCTTTTTATAGTATTTCATTTTTTTATATTCTCTCTTTGGTGTAGAAACGTTAAGTTCTTCTTGTAATTCCTGGCCATTTACACACATTTTCCACGAGCCAGAAGATCTACTTTGTTGTTATACTTGAGACGGAAGCATACAACTAGGAAGATAAAAAACATTTGCCTTGCTTTCAATTTTCATCCCCACTGTTTTCGTCAGTTACCGTACAGTCCCTCCCCGGCTTTCAACTCCTCGGCAATCTCATCTAAGGCTAACCTGTAAAACGTAAATATGCTCCAAAATAATAGTATTTTACCCACCAATACAAAGCAATCCAAAAAAAAAAACCAATGGTTGTGATAATAAATAATGCCAAGTGTTTCCTGCAGGTGACACGTCATAATATTTAGAGCGTTGCAATGAGTATGGTTATATTTTATTTTATTTTAAATTGCATTAATATTATAGCCGAATTTTATATTCATTTATCACGTATAATAAGAAAAAAAAACTTACTCTCTGCTGCCTGCTGAAATATTAAATGTAATCACTCAAATTCTATGTGGCCCCCTTCCCTAAAGTGTTTGTAATCACTAATACTGAGGTAGACACATTTCATAGGAATATTTATGCCTGTTTCAACGCAAAGTCTATTTTTACACGGTTAATTCCCATTTTAATTTTACTCTTCCTGGTAAGATTCACAAGCGAACAACTTCTCCCTTCAAGATATAAAGGAATCAAGCTTACGCGCGATAGCTTAGGTAATTTCTTTTAAGAAATAATGTATTTTAAAAAAGTAAATAACATAAGCACTGCTTTATAGTTAGTTCAGTTAGTATGCAAAGTTTCATGATCTTATTTAACGTATTTTATGAATAAAATAAATCAGAAAAGAATAAACCTTAACAAACCTCAACTAAATACAATTTCAAAAAATGCTGCCTTTCGGCAAAGAGATCTTGCTAAGCCATTTGAGTATATTTCCCCTTAACATGTAAAAAATATGTGTGTGCCTTCATACTATCCGTAACGTCAAGTATTGCTCGAATCCAATTCCAATCACGGTCAGTTTAGACTACTAGACCGCGATCGGACTGAGAACGAACTGCGAACGGTAAATGAGAATTGGCCCTTACTCAGAAAACTCTAAATACGCGCAAATGAACTCAATGAATTTGAAAAATGACGTTTAGTTAGTGTTGAAATAAAATAATAATTAATTTAATGACTGATTATCTTTGTAGTAAACATTTTAAGATACAAAAAAATATCTTATGGTACAAAAAAAGTTAAACATCTGTCATCTACAGATGACACTGCAAATTGAAGAGTTTTGCTGTTTTCCGTCGTCAATTTGAGTAATAAATAAATAAAGTAAATAATAATAAAATAGTTATTATTCAATATAGATGACATGTTTGTAAGTGGCCCCCACTGAAACGTTGCGTCGAAAGTAATGCCAAGAAAAACAGTGGATTCAACAGGGCTCAATTCTTCCCCATTCGTATTTTACTTCTGGCATAAACGCGATAGTTATACCACCATATGTTTGCATAGTCAGTTCTTACAACACCCACGAGATAGGAGACTTCAAACATAATATGTCGCAAATGGATAAACATCCTGACTTGTAACATGTAGGTCCATGAGAATAATGATACCGTGCGCAGTGTGACACCGTGGTCCGGGACGTTACAGCCAAACGCTTAACTAATAGTAATAAAAATACCCTTCATACCGAATTTCGGCAGCCAGTTTCAACGGAAACTAGCTATCTGCGTGGGACAGGACTATAGTGCACAAGTGTATGCGCAAGCACAGGTGTACTAGATTCTTTCACACTCATATTCCAATGGGACGATAATCCGACACGATCGGAGATAGATCAGACGCAGGAACTTTACGTGCTTTTGTAGGCACGGCGGTGAAACACCACCAACTTCCTGACCCCGGGCTGCTACTGAGCATTTTTTGACAGAAAATCTCGATAACTGATTTTATCCTGACCTGGGATTTGAACCCGGGGTCTCATGGTAAACAATCGCCTTTATGAATACTTTTTGTTTACAAAGACCAACAAGGCAATCATATTGTTCTATGTAAGTTCTTTGGTAGTGTGTGAGTAATGTGGACAAGAAACAGTTTTACTGCTCAGTATGACATAAAGCATACTATGTTGTGTCAATAAATCAAAACAAATACATTGATACATTCGGTCGTATACGTGGTGATTGCGTTTTTGCAATCTTCTCTAATCTTCTTGATATATAAAAATTAATGTTTATTTGTTCGTATTTTTTTGCGCTGCCATACCTTTCATCAGAGTATGCTAAAACTTTGTCAACTTATTGCTTGCACTTGCGTGCAGGTTATAAGCATATTACAGTTAAGTAAGAGTATCGTATCGTATCGTACTAATAAATTTATTTGAAAGGCATTTCTAATTAAATTTCAACAAATGTGTTATCATTCCTAATTAAACAATACAGGTTGTTAGTGTAAACACCGTTATCCTTGAAACCAGTGGTTTGGTTTCACTTATAGAACGTAAATTCAATGAATTTAAAAAAACGCTACTTTCTTCATAAAATTTAAAAAGTTTCTGTCCGACACCGTCCGTAAATTCATGGATATCCTATGCGCCTGAGTGACGTAATCACTGGCCCGCGGTAGCTACCTACACTACATTCCAATAAAAACACAATAGGCACACGTAATCTGTGATGTAACTTTTCCTTCATACTTTCATCCTGGCTTAGGACAGATAAAAATTGAGGAATTAAGAAAAAATTGAGATTTTACTAAAAAAAATGTTATTTTTCATTGAGTTTACGTTCTATAAGTGAAACCAAATCACTGGTTTCGAGGATAACGGTGTTTACACTAACAAGCTGTATAACCTTCACAAATTTAAACCTACCGATTCTACAATTATTTCTTCTGCGACAGTAACGCGCCGGGTATCAGCTAGTTATTAATAATTATATTTCGGTCAAATTTCTAGGCATACATGAACTATAAGAGAAAGTCGACCATCGGTTGGAGCATCGGCAACATTTTCCTCGACTTCGTTGGAGGTTCCCTCTCCATCCTGCAGATGGCGCTGAACGCATACAACTACAACGACTGGATCTCGTTCTTCGGAGATGCTACCAAGTTCGGTCTCGGTCTTTTCAGTCTCGTCTTTGATATATTCTTCATGTTGCAACACTATGTCTTCTACAGGTATGTTTTATACAGATGTAATTACTTACTAATTAAACATAAGTTATCGTGGTTCAAATACTGCTTATAACATTTAATTTTTATTGTAGTAGAGGATTTGCTAGTTTAGTGATAGAAAAGATAATTGTTCAAATGTACATAAATCGTGTCTATATGAAAGTACATGGATGTTTTGTTAGTGTTGGTGATACATGTTTATTAAACAATTTTGAGATTTGAGTATTTTTTTGAGAGTTTGATTGAGAATTGAGTATCTTAACAGTGCTTTCGGTTATCTATTTTGCTTGATGCATACTCTGCAAGACATGTTGAATCCATGTGTGATATGCAAACCGGCATAAATAATTGCTTTTCGTGTCTGTCTTTATTTCATTATCAGTCCATCGCTGGGCTAAGCCTCCAATAGTAGAGAGAACCTGCGTAAACGCCACGCTTAGTAGATACTTAGTAGCGGACGGTAGTAGACAGTACCACGTCTTGCAACCCGTCACTAGTTTAGGTACATTGTATCTAGGGTATGTTCCAAAATAGAACCCAGTGTACTGTCCAATGCAAATGACGTCATGAATCGACGCTATACTAGTGATTCGTTCCAAAACATAGGACGGTATGACGTCATACATTTGCGCCGTATTGGAAAAGTGTTGGCGATTATTTTGTCATTTTGTGCTCCAAAACAAAAGGGGATACCAGCAATTATTCTATAAATTTTTGTATTTGAATAAATAAAAACAAAATTCTGGCATGCTTCATCCAGCGCACACACAATTAAAAATTGTTTTATTATGGCCGGATATCCGACACAATATGGCGGCGGCGCGCCAGTACAATATAGTGTCAATTGATGACGTCATTTGTATTCGGCAGTATACTGAAAACGTTTCGAAACATACCCCTAACATATTACAGGAGAGGGGTTTCAGCGTTGTTTTTATCTATTGTAAACCAGCACTTGAATAATTTACCGTGTAGTGGCGGTGTAAAAATATCCGCTACTCCATATTAACCCGTGGGTGTCGATAAAAGGCGAAAGAGGATAACAATACAGAAGATGGGCAACAGCGTCTTCCTAATAACGACTAGAAAAAACTGCGGTTGCCAGCCCGCTTGCCAAGCGTGGCAACTATAGCTAATAACCCCCCTATGAGGCAATATATAGGGGAGTCCTATGTTCAGCAGTGGACTTTATAGGCAGTAACGGTAACTTGATTAATATCTTTGGAAGGCCGAGCTAGTGGCATTTTCCATGTCGAATTTTACGACATCCATGGCAGACGATAACCACGTCATCGGCGATAAAGGAAAATGACTTTATGAATGAGGAATTACATATTTCGAGGACATGTGAAGTTCGCCAACACGCATTGGAGTAGTGAGGAGGCCTGTTCCAATCTGTAGGATACTTCACGGGCGAAGATGGGGCGATGCATTCATATATAGTTGATATTACAAATCTTAGATAAACATAATCAATTTTTAGTTAAGGTTTTTGCATTATTTGACACGATAACTTATAATAATTCGCGGTTTGGTCTTTGTACAGCTTTTCTATACATTCTAACATTTTCATCCTGAATTACTTACTATCATACATACGTTATTAACTAACTCATTTCATGGAAGGGGCTTACTAATCATGGCATTTTATTCTCTTCTCCATCAAAATTTTTAAACGGAATTAATACAAGTTTGTGCACTCAAGATCGAAAACGAAGAAGTGCTCAGCATAAGATGACCATCTTTTATATAATATTTGGCAGATGGTGAAAAGCAAATTTGCATTAAATATTAAATAGGATAAGAATCAATCCTTGCAAATTGACCATAAAAATAAATAAAAAAAAAAAAAAAGACAAAAAAAAAAAAAAAACAAGAGCCAATTTTTTTCTCTGATATTGTAGTGAGGTGATTGAAGTGTGTGATAATTTGAAGATGAAAATTGAAGGAAGGGCTGAAGCACTGAAATAGCCTGAAACGTATTGAAGATGGGAATTGACTACAGGTAATTCTGTTGTGAAGAAGAAATTAAAAAAAGAAGAGGTTACGACCCAAGAGCGAGATAATTGTACCTTAACAAAATAATACGTAATGATAACCCCTCTTACAGAAGAAGTTCATATAACTGTAGGCAGTGTTTTCGCGAAATTTCGTTAAAATTCGCAATTCCATAAACGGGACGTGTGGCCTTAAACGCAGTGGCGTTTCAACATCGAGGACATCCAAAAATAATTAAGGAATGAAGATATACCAATAATTAAGAAAAAAGTTAAAATTTGCGTTTCATTCAACGGAACATTTCTATCACTTACATTGGGACACAATGATGCACTGGCTTTTCAAGATAAAGTGAATTTAAAAAATGATTAATGAATGAACGATGATATTTAAATAATAAAGAAAACATATTCGGTTAAAGTGTTTTCGTGAAATTTCGTTAAAACTCGCAATTCATTAAACGGGGCGCTTTCATCGCTTACATTGGGACGCAACAACGTCGTGGCTTTTCGAACATCGAGGGACGCTAAAATGGCGCTCTACGTTTGTTTTATTAACTTAACAAAATTGGTTAAGGAAACATGTTTGTGGTTGATGTTTTCAGAGAGGTCCAGGAATTTATGATTGTTAACAGTAGTGACGAGGGCTCGAATATGACATCGAGTAGTGAAGGCAGGGAATACTTTATGATCAATAGTTGGTATGTATGCGGCTATACTTACTATAACTGACCCGGTGAATCGATTTTGGTTTTGTAAACTTCCTTAACGATTTTAAACCGCATTAACTAAACAGCAACTTTTTAATATTTTCTTACAACTTTCTTCTCTTTGCTTTTTATACTAATTCCCTCTTTATTTTAGTCTGCACAAAGTTTTTGTGGAAGGTAGCAGTTGTTGACTGTGTTTTTGTAATTATCGTGCAGTTTTACCAATATTCATCACTAACACATTGTGTTCTGTGATTACTTTCAACATATAAAAATAGATGGAACCTTAAATTCTGACAACTTGTAAATAAATAAACGGTTTTGAGGATTTTATGAGTTAATAGGCCCAGGAAGATAATTTTATAATTTCGAAATTTTTAGGCACGCCGATGAAAAGAAATATGATTTGAACATTAAAGCGTGATGAAGACTGAAGAATTAGCACCCGCTGTCATTTTCATTACCCTGACGTCCAAGGATGACTTCACCAACTTCCACCACTAATTGCAATTCTTAAGGAGTTTTCAGAGCTAGCAACTGAAAGAAATTTGTCGATATATATTGGAATAGTTTATTGTTATGTGAAAGATATAATAATTTTCTCAACACTATTTCATTGGTAGATCTGATTGCTAACAGAAAAACGCGACATCAAAAAAAGGCAAAATGAGATGTTTACTCCCGTGAAGATTTTGAACAAGAATGATCGTGGTAGAGTCACGCTGCAGTTATACTCGTATTATAATTGTAGCGTGAATGGGTCGGCTCGACTGGGGAAGAACACCAGCGTAAAATAGCAGCTTAATGCAGCCGTGTTTCTTAGGGTGAGTGTAGAGAACTGGAGACCCTTTTTACTGGAGATAAGGCATACCATCTTAGTCGTCAGAGGTAACACCGTTTTACCATTTTTCTTCTTCTAAAAGAATAGAAAGAATAAAAAAGATAAAGGAGCACGGGCAGTTTTCACTTTAAATATAGTTTCTTATAATTATAATGTTTTTTTATTAAGACTCGTTAAGCCAATACTATTTATTATTGTTAAAGATTAAGTATATTCTATAAGATAAGGCGCAACAGTCCACAAACTTTTTTATTGCGAGTCGCCAACCTAATGCCAGTACGATAAATAGAGGAATATTGACAACTTATGCAGCGTAACTGGAAAATATTTATTAATGAAACTTGAGAATTTTTTTTTTCGCTCGCCATTTAATTATTTATGAACCAAACTGATCCCACCTAACATATTTGTATACATACATATCAGTTAAGTGAAACCTAAATTCATGTAATGCACTAATTTAAAATACCATTAAATTATGTGTTGCAATTTTGAAATGTTTTTAAAAAATTGTTAATCGTTATTTGTTATTGTTAAATGACAAAGTCGTTTTAAATCCGATCTGTGATGAAGGGACACATTTTATATTAAAATGTGTAAAAATTTAACATTGCATTTTTGATTTTCACCCTTACAATTTACACATGAAAAGCTTAAAAAAGTACGCTGAACAACTGAGCTGTTGACTTTTGACGGACTGACCTGTTATAACTATAAACAAAATATGAGCCTTAAAATTGCACACTGAAAAAAATTATAATATTTTTTACTATTATTTATGAAATAATTATGTATTTTTACACAAAAATAATATTTATTTAATACTTAGATTAAATAGGCGATTATTTTTATTTACAATGGTTTTTGTGTAATTAATTTAGACAAAATATTATTTTAAAGTATGAACGTATATGTTTTTAGACCAATAAATTAGTTTTGATTTTGCTGTGTTTCCATTCAACAACCTGATGTTATAAGAATCATTCATTATAAACTGTGCGAGTTAGCCATATATACAATCAATTACTTTGGCATACCAATTATTATGTATAACTGACCAATGTTGCCACCATTTTTTGCCACATTATTGCCACCAAAGCAGAAAATGTGTGTAATAATAATGACGATACGTCGAATACAGGTAGTACTCGTCGTATCGTCTATGTAGTAAGGAGAGGAGAGAGGAGGAAATTTTTTATATAAATTGGGGATATCATTAAATAATTTCATAGTTTCTTGTTAAAAGTTAAATTTTTTTTTGCGCCCGAAGCAAATATGTGCAACCCTCCGGAAAGCGGGGGAGGGAGGCGGTGAATGATCATAGCATACCACGCAGCCGGCTGCGTGGTTATGTGGAGACTTTTACCCACTAAACACCGCCTTTTAAGAATTGGCTTAACGATCTGACTAGAGATCTCTAAGCCGTATACGAACGCGACCCTCCTTGGCAGAAAGGAGGGCGCAAAAAGTTAAAGTTATAGTTACAGCCTATATACGTCCCACAGCTGGGCACAGGCCTCCTCTCATTTCTGAGAGGGTTTTAGGGCAAGGAAATGTCCGCCGCGCTGCCCCAATGCGTGATGGCGAACATATTTTCGATATTTTTTTCTTATTTCTCAGACATGCAGCATTCCTCACGATGCTTTCCTTCACCGCCGAGCACGTGGTAAATCAGCACTTAAAATTGCAATTACCGATTACATTGGTGCCAGCGACGATTGAATCCGAGTTGCTCGCGTACTATGAAATTTACAGCAATTGTTTAGCCCCTGAGCTACCACGGCTTGTACGAGTTTGTTGTAGTCAAATGAAAAACGTCAGTCGACTTTACCACTCAATTCTGTAGCATAAACTTGCTTTGCCGCTCTTTCCTTATTCGTTCATTTTACGTATCCAAACCACCAAAGCATTCCTTTCCCAATTCTAGTTAACCACATGTTCTTGCAAACCACTCTTTTCTCTTTTCACCCATTTTCTCTCAGTCAGCCCTAACATACTTCTTAATAACCATATTTCTACAACATTAATTTTACTTTCACGCTTTTTCTTCTTCAATATTATACCAGCGCAATATTCACGATGGGTACTATAAAACATTACCATCGTGAATATCGCACCGGCATAGCTATCAATGATATTTTGAGATTGCGATGAGTAACTTTCTTAATTCCTAATAAACTTATTATGATATATGTACATAGCTCATACTCTTATAGAAGATTCTTCTTTATCTGCATCAACCTGTTATTAAAGATCACTGCTGAGCATCCCGTTGTAAGAGGGTTACGATCGCATTAGCAGACATTTCGTAACTTTAACATGTTTAGGAGGCATTCGTTTTAAATTAGCGCCTTCACCAGGGACAAGCGAGACTTGAGATTCTAAGTACATCTTTATGTTTGATTTGTTAAATATCAAAAATTATTTTCCTCTAAAAATACTAAGATAAACTAAATAAACTCTTTTGGGATATAGTTTACATAGATTTTTTAATAGAATAACAGTGACAAACGAGTTCACAAGTGACTTGATGGTAAGTAGATGCTGTGGCCCGTAGACATATAAATTTATCCTTAATTAGGAATCAAAATGCAGTTGAGTTGTCACCATAGAATACTATAATACACAATAGAATGGCTGTCAACGTTATTTTGTACGAGGCTCGACGTCGTCGGGAGCATACATATAAGCAATTACATCGTATTATCAAGTACCGGTTTTCCACCCGCTTTCAGAAGCTCCGCTGTAATTCCATCCTCGCCCGGGGACTTGCCGTTTTTAAGGTGTTGGAGAGCCATTCTAATCTCGCTCAGACTGACGTCCGGGATATCATCGGAATAGTGTCGGATAAGACTTGCTCTTGGATCGTTACTCACACTTGCGTGTGGCTCCAACGATGATGTGTACAGCTGCCCATAGAACCTCTCAATCTCACTCAGAATCTCAGGTGTCACGGAAACGATGCTGCCACACTCAGTCTTCAGCTTTGACAGTTGACTCTTACTGGCAGAAAGATCTCTGGCAAAGGCTTTGGAGCCCTGGTTCCGCTCGATCGCTTCTTCAATACGAGCAGTATTGAAGTTGCGCAAGTTTCGCCGCATGCCTTTGGAGATCTGTCTGTTCAGTTGCCGATATGATGTCAAATCTGTTGACGATTGCAGCCTCATCTCCCGTCTAACAGCCATCAGATTAAGAGTGTGATCGGAGAGTTTTTGTATTCTTCTGCGCCGGGTCTTGCAGAACTTAGCTCCGACCGCATGGACAGTTTCCACGAGCTTGTCATTCATATCGTCTACTGCATTGCAATCTTCTAGGCACTGAAAGCGGTTACGTAACTAAATCGACGGATTCAACTCGGCTGGGCAGCGTTCGGGAAATTACGACGCATCTTCTCGTCAGGTATACCTCAAAACCTGAAAACTAAGTTGTACAACCAGTGCGTGTTGCCAGTGATGACCTACGGAACCGAAACGTGGTCCTTCACTGCTGGCCGTATGAGGACGCTCAAAGTCGCTCAGCGAGCTATGGAGAGGGATATGCTCGGATTTTCTCTGCGTGATAAACTTAGAAATGAGGATATCCGCAGTAGAACCAGAGTGACTGACATAGGCAATGGGCCGGCCATATAGCTCGAAGAACCGACAACCGTTGGGGAAGAAGGGTTCTCGAGTGGCAGCCTCGTACCGGTAGGCGAAGTGTAGGGCGACCCCCACTAGATGGAGTGACGACCTGGTAAGACATGCAGGAAGTCGATGGATGCAGGTGGCTCAGGACCGTGCTTTGTGGCATACCTTGGGGGAGGCCTATGTTCAGCAGTGGACTTGTGAAGGGCTGTAATGATGATGATGATGATCGTATTATCACTACTACAAACCCGATTCGCTGTGTTGACAAAATGAGTAAATTTAAACATTTTAGACTTATGACTTATTTTTATTAATGTTCAAGATCATCATTAAAAAAATCGTTTAAATTTTAATACTTACATATTTATTTGTAAATAGTGTGCAATTTGGCATTTTCTAAATAATTTGCATGCGAAATTCGGAAATGATTGTAACGTCAAATACATCTCATGTTGACAGTTACTACGTGTGAATTTACATGTTAGTGACATTTTAGTGGCAACACGGGCTCCGCCCACTCCCCCGTTCTATTACGTATGTATTATAGTATTCTATGGTTGTCACCTTTGAGGACTGAGATGCAATACAGTTTCTAACAAAAAGGGTCTCCGGTTTTCTATACTTGCCATACGAAACACTGAAGCATTAAGCTATTTTACGGTGGTATTCTGTGAGAGCGTGTAAGACACACTCGATCCGACTTATTTGTGCTACAACCATAATATAGCTGCAGCTCGACTCTACTACATAAAATAGACGTAATGAAATATTTGCACATCCTTTATATCCAGGGGTCTAGGTGTCTGGTATTTACTATCTTACTTGTGACTGACAGACTTCAACGAACAACGCACCAAACAAATAAAAGTGTAAACGGAATTTCAACTAATTCCACTAAAATAAATGTTAGGTATAATATACATCAGTAAAATGTTAGAGAGTATATGTCAACAATTT